AGCCCTGGAGAGAGCCAGGCACGTCCGCAGTGAGCCAGGGCGGGCAGGCTCCCAGTGGCCAGTCGCTGCTTGCCAGGAAGGGCAGGGTCACCGGAGCAGCCCTGGAGCCTGTCGCTTCAGTGTGGACCTTGTCCCCGGTAGTCGGACCTTCGGTCTGAGGGCTGATCATTCTGCATCTTTTTTCCTGGTGTTTATTTTGTTTCTCTTTTGTATTCTTTGAAGTTAGGGGGTCAGAAGTAGGTGTGGGTCCAGGCCTGTGCCCGCAGTGGGGAGCCTTTTTGTGATGTCTGTCCTTGTGGCCTGGCAGGGCTGGCCTCTGCCCAGGGCCTCGAGCCTCCTGCAGCTGTCCCCAGCTAAGTGGGGACTGGCTGATTAATTTTTACAAGAAGAGACAGTGAACATAATATAATGTGTCTGGAGACAGGTGCATGGGGCAGCTGTGTTCTTCAGGTGCCTCAGTGAAGTGGGGCAGACAGTGCTCACTGCTCTGGGGGGGTGGGGACGCAGTTCTGAGTGGGCAGCAGCGGCCCGTTTGCTTCCAGCCGGGGCTCAGCATTCTGCGTGGCCCCCCTGCGTGCTGGGTGGAGCTGAGGCCCGACCAGCTTCTCTTTTTCCAAACAGTGCCCTTGAAGGGCCTCTTGGCTTCGGCTTTTCTGTCCTTTGCATCCTCATCCTTCGCTGGTTGGGAGATGGAGCAGGATTTGGGCTCACCTTGGGTGCTAAAAGCTAAGGGCCCGGCTCCAAGGTAAGATAGGAAGGTGCCCACCTGCCTTTCTGGAAGTTACTTGGGGGAAAGGGAAGTGGCTAGGGAGCAAAACTGAGTCTCTCCAGGTCTGATCTGAGCGCTTGGGGCGTGATGGAAGGTTCACCTGAGCTGCTTACCTGAAGGGTCTTAGGCACACATCTAGCTTTGTGTCATGGAGCGTTTCTGTGCTTCTGTCCTGACCCAAGGCCACACTAGGCCGGAAGGCCCCCGAGGGCCCTCTGGTCCGCAGTAGCAGCCCTCCACCCTTGTGGGAGCAGGACTTCTGAAACTCCTACAGGCATGTCATTGGGGCCCCAAAGAGCTTTGATTTGTGTGGATCAAACATACCAATTTTTATTGTTAGAAGTCACAACAGGAATTCTTAAAAACCTAGTTGGTCCTAAAATAATAATAAATCTATCATACGTTATCAAAAATAACCTAGACAGCAGCATTTTAGTAGTAAGAGGGTTGTAGATGCCTGCTGGCCTCTGGTGTGGGCCTAAGTGGAAGGTAGCTGGGTTGTCATTTTCTTCTGGGCTGGTGCAATGGCACACATGCAGCCCTTAAAACAGGGTGCTCACGAGAGGAGAGCAAGTGTGGAAAACACTCTGACCTCACAGCTGCCCTTGAAGGGTCTCAGGCTCGCGGGCTGTGGCCCACACTGACAGCTGCTGTTTCAGGGACTTGGAGTGAGGAAGGTAAGATGCGAAGGTTCCTTGCACCAGGAAGATGGGGCTCCTGTGGCTTTATTGGGAGTGTGCTGCCCTGAAGTCCTCTGGGGAGGTTATTGGGCCAGCAGTTGCCTTTCTGGTGTGTGGGAGGCTGCCCACCTGTGTTCCTGGGGATCCTGAGCCCTCTCCTTGGTGATGTCACAATTGCCTGGTACCCAGAAGGACTCTGGCTCCTGTAGCCCTTACCCGGCTTTGTTCTGTGGACAGAGGCCGTGGGCCCTGCTGCTCGGGGCTCTCAAAACCCCAGGCAGGAAGGTGGGGCTGCCAGACTCCTGGACTCGGTCAACCAGGACTGGGTGGGGGCCCAGGCGGTTTCCAGGTGCTCATGCCTCGGTCCGTATCCACAGTTTGACGAAGGCCGGAACAGCTTCGAGGGGGAGATCACCAAAGAGAAGCTGCTGGACTTCATCAGGCATAACCAGCTGCCCCTGGTCATCGAGTTCACTGAGCAGGTGTGGCTCTTCTGCTTGTCCTGTGCCCCAAGTGGGGGTGGTTTGGCCCCGGGAAGCCCTGCTCAGGGAGTTCCCACTGCTGCCCAGAGGGCATCCTCGGGTGGCGGCTTCGCCCCTGTGACCTGTGTCTGTAACACAGACAGCCCCGAAGATTTTTGGAGGAGAAATCAAGACACACATCCTGCTATTCCTGCCGAAGAGTGTGTCTGACTATGACGGCAAATTGAGCAGCTTCACGAAGGCCGCTGGGAGCTTCAGGGGCAAGGTGAGCCGCTCTCGGCTGTCCCGTGGCTTCTCCCGTCTCATCAGAGCCTGTCCTTGGGGTTGGGGCCGCTGCGGGAGGTCAGCCACGCCAGCCTCCTCTGCTCCCCGCCAGCCAGTCTGCCTGCCAACGCGAGTCGAGTGCAGGAGGCTTTGGTGGGGCAGAGCGGGGCCACCATCCACCTGCCCCGCTGCTCTGACTGCGCCTTTTCTCCCCCAAGATCCTGTTTATCTTCATCGACAGCGACCACACAGACAACCAGCGTATCCTCGAGTTCTTCGGCCTACGGAAGGAGGAGTGCCCTGCCGTGCGTCTCATCACCCTGGAGGAGGAGATGACCAAGTACAAGCCCGAGTCGGACGAGCTGACAGCGGACGGGATCACCGAGTTCTGCCGCCAGTTCCTGGAGGGCAAGATCAAGGTGGGGCCCGTCCTGGGCGCGCTAGCCTGCGCAGCCTCTTGCTCCTTAGTTTGGAGGCCCCTGTGGCTGCACCCATACGGCACCTAAACACATGAGCATGCAGTCCTGAGGACGGGGCCCCCAGCGGCAGCAGGTGGCAGTCCTTGTCCCTCTGCGTGGGGCATGCAGAGCAGCCCTGACTTGGGGGCCCAGCCCTCTCCTGAGGTCCCACGGCCAGCTCGTTGCCAAGGGCGGCTGTGTGCCTCTGCCAGAAATGGGGCTCTGCAGGGCAGTGGGATCTGTGTGGCCCTGCACCCCTGACCCGGCACCGCCCGTCCCCCAGCCCCACCTGATGAGCCAGGAGCTGCCTGAGGACTGGGACAAGCAGCCTGTCAAAGTGCTGGTTGGGGAAAACTTTGAAGAGGTTGCTTTTGATGAGAAAAAGAATGTGTTCGTGGAATTCTGTAAGTGAAGGCATGTCAGCCTCCCCACTTGTCTGCCGCACCGGTGTGGGCTGGGGGCAGGCCAGGAGGTGCTTCTCGGCCTAGGGAGACCCAGAGCTGCTTTCTCTAGATGCCCCATGGTGTGGTCACTGCAAACAGCTGGCTCCCATTTGGGATAAGCTGGGAGAGACATACAAAGACCATGATGATGTCATCATTGCCAAGATGGACTCAACAGCCAACGAGGTGGAGGCAGTCCGCGTGCACAGCTTCCCCACGCTCAAGTTCTTCCCTGCCGGCCCGGGCAGAACGGTGCGCGTTCCAGTCATCCGAGGGGCCTGAGACGGGAAGGGGGCTGGGGAGTGCTGGGACCCCTTCAGAAGCCCGCCTTTGTACAGGGGGGCAGCTGCTGCCCACTCCTCATCCTCCATCTCCCCAGGTCATCGACTACAATGGGGAGCGGACGCTAGACGGTTTTAAGAAGTTCCTGGAGAGCGGTGGCCAGGATGGGGCAGGGGAGGATGATGTAAGTGGGGCTTGGTGGCCACCAGGCTCCGTTGGCCTCTGGGGGCACCCTGAGTGCTTAGGGGACCCATGATTGGCACCACCAGGGGCATCTGGCACCAGGTGATCGGGCAGCCCTCAGGGTGCCCTCCTGGCGAGCGCTGGGCCAGAGGCATCTGCAGGGAGTCTTACCAGTCGGTCCCACCCCCTACCTGCTGACATGCACAGGGAGACCCTTCCAGGCCAGAGGGCTGGTGGCATGGGGGCCAGTGACAGGCCGGGGTGTGGACTCCGGGCTCCCCATCATCTGCTCTGAAGGCCACGTGCGGCCCTCCCTGTGTGCCACCTGCACTGGCCGCTGACTCGTGTCCTGTCTTCCTGTTCTTCCTTCATCCCAGGACCTAGAAGACCTGGAAGAAGCGGAGGAGCCCGACCTGGAGGAGGAGGATGACCATAAAGCTGTGAAGGATGAGCTGTGAGGCAGATGGCCTGGGCGCCCCAGACCCACCTGGCAGCTGCCACCCGGCAGCTCGGCCCCAGGGCCGCGAACCCTCCCCGGAGGAGACGCGTCAATCGGAAATGCAGGGAATTTTCTGAAGCAACACTGCATTCCAACACACTTGTCAATTCAAACCCATCTTTTCCTTTTTCTTTTCAGTTTTTGGAAAGGGATTTCTCTCCAGGCCAGCCTCGTCTTGATGGGCCTGTTTTATAATTGTGATGTACTTTTTCATACGGGGTTTTGTTTGGAGTGCTTGCAAAAATGTTTGGGAATCTCACACTGGCAGTATCTCCTTTCTGTTAGGTTTGTACTCTCTCTTTAAAAGAATTCCATCTGTGGGATTTTTAAACATTTTTGGAGTCAGGGTATCTGTACTGGCTTGGCTAGGCCTCCCCAGAGACTCCTGTCCCTGTGTGGGGAGGGATGAGCCAGGCTGGATGGGTCGCTTTCACCTGTGCCAGCGTTACCACAGCTGAGTGTGGCTCTCACCTTGTCTGGTTAAATGGAGACTCTGGGTCTCTGTCGCAAGGGAGCCCAGCGGGTGCCGCTGGGGCGGGGGCAGCAGGTGCCGCTGGGGTAGGCCTGGGCAGCTCTCCGCTGCCCCGAGCTGGGCTCCTCATTGCTCTGTGACTTCAGGGTGGCCTGAGGCCTGCAGCAGGCAGAACCAGAGCCCCCCGCATCCAGGCTGGGAGACGGCCGAGGGTGCTTGAGCCAAATCAGATGTGACGGTTCTGCAGGCATTTCTACCACAACATTGGAATTGAACACATTGGCCAAATAAAGTTGGAATTTTACCACCTCTCATCGCCTCTGCTCTATGATCTGTCCAGGCCACGCCACGGGAATTCTGACTGAAGAGGAAAGGTGCTCTAGGTGGGCACTGTTCTTGCCAAGCGCCATCTTCCACGCAGCAGGGTGTAAATGTGGAAGCATGCACAAGTCTGGAGTGCAGTTCGCTGAGTGCCTGAGTGCGTGGCCAGGTCCCCGAGTGGAGGAACTTGGAGGGTGCCGCCTGGCACCGTGTGCTGATAGGGGGCTGCTTGAATGGTGGCAGATGTGGTCATCACTGCCCTTCTGGAGCATCTGGTCGTCACTGCGTGGACTCTGCTCAGGGGCTACAGAAAGCCAGCCCCAGCCTGAGGTGGTGGGCAGGTCTCCACCGATTCCTGGAACCGCCGCAGGGTCTGACAAGAAATCGAGCAAGCAGGCCTCAAGAATGGGTAAGATAGCATGTTTATCACCAGACCTTCATATTAAAAAAACATGTTCAAATAGCAGGTCACCTAGTTAAAATGTAACTTGGCTTCTAGAACCTCAGCTTGCTAGTAGTTTGTATATAGAATTTTTTCCACAGACTCAAAGCTGTCGGCCTGGCATGTTGAGCTGATGGCATTTCTGAGCCTGGACTGGTTCAGGCCCCAGAAGGAGCTCTGCGGTGCCTGTGGATCCCTCAGAGTGAGAAAGGAGCCCTACAGGGGCTGCAGGGTGCAGGTCGGGGACCTGACTGACAGCACAGGTGGGACAACGGGCGGGGGAGGGAACGGAGACCCAGTCCACCTGGGTAAGAACAAGGACAGCCCACAGGTTCCAGGGATCCTTGCCTGCCACTCTCGTGTGCCAGCAAGCCCTCATCTCCACGAGCCCTGGAGGAGGACGTGTACTCACTGCCTGAGTCCCCGCATGTCCATGTCCACAGCCACACTCCCAGCCTGTCGGCCCTTGCTGTCCTCGATGCAGGCAGCCTGCCATCTAGGCTGTCACAAATCCAGCGTCCAGCGAGGGCTGGTGTCAGTACCCTGGGTGGGGACAGCTGGGCTGCGGTGCTGCCCCTCCGGCTCTGCAGCCTGCGCTGGTAGCTGCCTGTGCAGGGACTGCCTTCCTGGTCCACTCCAGGGCTTATACATATTGTGTCTGGGTCCTGTGGCACTGAGATGTGCATCCATGGAGATGTGAGCTCTGCGCTTGGACCCAGTGGGAGGGGTCCTTGGGGAGACGATGGCTCTGCTCTCTGAAACTTGAGTGGCATCCCCAGAGCAACATGTGGCCTCCAGAGGAAGGTGGGTTTTGTCCAGTCCTGTGCTCCCTGGCCTCTGCACAGGAAGCTGGGACCAGGCGCAGCTGCCGGAGCATTGCTGTCATATGCTCCCAGGAGGGGGAGTGAGTCACCCATACTTACCCTTTTTGCAGAGGCAGCTGATTATCGCATTCCTGGGTTTGCTGGGAGGTTGTGGGGTGGAGGCCAAAACCTGGCAGGGCTGGTGGATTAGCGAGGGACTTTGCAGGCTCTTGGGCAGGCGGCTAAGGCCTAACAGCCCAGGACGGCCTCCTGGCCTACCCCCCTTTCTTGCCTCTCTGTCCAGATGGTGGGAAGCTACTGGCCTGGAACCTAACGAAGCTGCTGTGGGTCTGTGCACCGGACCCTCAGGGGCCTCTGGCTCAGGACCTGCTGGGGAGGAAGGGGCTGCAGTGGCCCAGCACCAAGTCCTAAGGGCTCTGCAGCTAGTGTTTTCTGCTTGACGAATCGTAGCTGCGTTCCTTGGAGTTTTCAGAGTAAGCATTCCGCATTACATGTTCGCTTTGCTTTCGGCCTCTAGAAGGCAGAAACCGCAGGTACGTGCACACCAGGTCCCTTCACAAGTTCACGTGGGCAAAGGAGGACCAGGGACAGAGCTGTGTGAATGCAGGTGTGAGTCTGATGTGGTCGCGTGAGACGTGCTTTGCCGACAGTGGCAGGGTGAACAGTTTAAGGATGGCTTTTGATGAAAGATTTCCGAAGTAAGATGCTTCAGCTGGTGTGCACGGCTGAGAAGGCACCTGAATCAGCAGCACGCAAGCTCCTTCCAGGGCTCTGTCGTGACTGGGAAGGCTTTGTCCACCTCTCCCTTCTCTGATCCAGACGGAAATCTCAAAGCCAAAACCCTGCCGATTTCTCAGCCTGCTGTTAGCAGGACAGACTGGAGGATACTTTTTGGGGTCTCGAACAGGCCCACTCTGATGGGCTTTCCCTGCCCTGTGTCCAGCCCAAGGTCCAGTCTCTCCTGGGCAGGGCCAGCTGGGGTGGCAGCTACATTCAGGGTTTCTACCCGGTCCTCTGAGTGGGGAGGGCAGACAACTTTCCATGACATCAGAAAGACAATCTTCACATCAAAGGAAAGTTCTGTCTCCTGTCTACAGTGCAGAGAGCTTTTAGTCTCCAGGCTTCTCATAAATAAGCCAGAAGAAACTACTGATTCTTCCCAAGCGCCCAGGAGTAAAGGCTGCCTGGCGCCATCCTCGGATCCCAGAGCCCAGGAATGCTGGGAAGCACCCCTTTGTCAGGGACCTATGGGGTCTGGCTTGGGAGGAGGTCCCTGTGGAACTTTGGGGGCGTACGTGGTGGTATGAGGCCTGTGGGGCCAGCCCAGCCAGTGGGCAAGGGCACTAAGTCAGGCCAGGAAAACCCCATCAGGGTAGGAAGCCCGTCTGATGCCGGGGCCCATTTCTCCACATTTAGCCTAAGGCTTTGCACCTGAAGAGTGTTGAGTGCATTTAGTCATTTGATTTTGTTGGATTAGGACCAGCCTGGCGGCCAAGGGCTGCTGGTGACCAAGCTGCCTGCCCCGCCCTTGACAACAGTGTTGTTCAGTTTCGGTTCTGTCTTTAGGCCTCCAGTGCCACCCAGGGGATCTCCCCAGTGTTACGGTGACCCATGTCCCCCAGTACTCCTGTGTTGGAGAGCTAACGTACCTCAGAATGTGATCTTATTTGGGAATGGGATTGTTGCAGATGTCATTAGTTAAGATGAGATCACACCTAATCCAATGACTGGAAACCTTATAAAAAGGGGAAATTTGGATACAGACACACACATAAGGAGAAGGTACTGTGAGCATGCAGGCAGAGCTGGCCTGATGATTCTACCAGCCAGAGCACACCTGGCATTGATGCCAGAAGCCAGGAGATGGGCCTGGGATATATTCTATCAGAAGGCACCTTGGCATTGGACTTGTGACCTCCAGGACTGGGAGAGCGTAACACTCTGTTGTCTCAGCCCCAGCTGGCACTTTGTTACTGCAACCCTAGCAAACCGACACAGCCGGCTCCGGGTGCGGGGGCTGTCCCGGACCCCACCGGCACTCTCCCGGCCCAGCTCTGCTCCTGCACATGCATCCTCTGCTCTTATCTTGTCCACTGGCCCTCCTGTATCAGGGCCTAAACCCCACCTCAGACCCGACTGCTGCAGTAAATAAATGCAGCTGGCATTGGCCCAGCCTGCTAGAAAGTCTTCAGACTTCACTGACTGTACCCCTCTAGGTAAGTCTGCACTGGGCTAGGTGCAGAGGGTGAACAGCAGTGGGGTAGTCTGTCCTTGGGAAGCAGACTGGATGTCACCTCAAGTGTGAGCACATGCATTCTTGAAAGTAAGTGCCTGGCATCAGGAGAAATGGTGATGGGAACGTAAGGGTCAAGGTGGAGAGGAACAAGGTCATTGTGGGGAAGGGCTGCAGAGGGTTCTTGATGGGCAGGGTGGGACGGGTTGAGCGAGAGCTGAGGCATTTAGATTCTAACCTGGAGGTTTCTGAGGAGGCCAGTGCCATCAAGGCCCAAGCTCTGGGAAGACTGCCCTGAGAGGGATGCCAACAATGACGGAAGGTGACAAGGGACAGAGAGGGGGAAGGGCTGGGCTGGGCCACCTCTCCCGTGGCACAGTCAGGACACTGATTCCTCAGATGTGGTGGCCCCCTTTCAGAGAGGCGGAGACAGCCACCCTCACCATGCATTATGCCCTCCTCCCCAAGTTCCTGGGGCCGTGCGCGGGAGATGCCTGGACCCTCTCAATGACCTTGGTACCTGCTCACCTTCCTTATGGGGTCTGTCCTTCTAGTACCTTCTCCTACCCTCTGTAAGACATCTTCTATGTCCAGCTGTGGGGCAGGGAACGGGTGGTCAGGAAGGATCTGACCTTTAGCTGGGCAGAGTGACAGGTGCACTGAAAGATGAGCTCCTAAACATGATCCTGAGCACGGGGTGGGGATCAGCTCTGTTTCAGCCCCTCCCTGAGAGCATGACTGCGCAGCTTTATATAGCTCAGCGGCCCTATATAACCAGAAAGTGCCCTCACCACAGAGGGAGCACATGGTAGCTGCACTGGAAGTCCTGTTGGCTGGAAGAGCCTGCACTCGCATCTGGTCTGGCTGGGCACACCCCTCCCTCCAGCAGTAGTGTCCCCACAGGGGCAGCCCAGGCCACGGTCTCCAGGATGCCCAGCAGAACGTCCCGCTACTCCCGCTATAGCCCACGGCAACGGCGGCGGCGAAGGCTGGTCGATCGCAGTGTACGCTTCCCTAATGATGTCCTGTTCTTAGACCACATTCGCCAGGGTGACCTGGAGCAGGTGGGGCGCTTCATCCGGACTCGGAAAGTTGCCCTGGACACCATCCACCCCTCGGGTGAGTGCTACAGGGCCAGCAGAGGGTCTTGGGCTGCTGGGGAAGGCCTCAGCCTTGACTCCTCCTGCCCTGCCCTGCCCTGCGTTGCCCTTCCCAGGCCTAGCCGCCCTACACGAAGCCGTGCTCTCTGGAAACCTGGAGTGTGTGAAGCTGCTGGTCAAATATGGGGCTGACATTCACCAGCGTGATGAGGCAGGCTGGACACCCCTGCACATTGCCTGCAGTGACGGGTACGCGGACATAGCCAGGTGAGAGAGTGGGACCAGGGGCATTAACCCAACCCTTCAGGCCTCAAGTGGCCTCCAGGATGTGGTCCCCCAGAAGGTGGCCCTGAGCTTTTCATGGTGGTGTAGCTGTGGCCCTCTGTGGAGCAGACTGTAAAGTCAGCCATAGTTCCTGGGGGGCCAAGCCTCATCGTGCTCGCCCCACCTAGGGAAATTAAAGCAGGTGGGCCTCAGGACTGCAGCCTGCTACCTTGGAATGGGGTGAGCGCCCTCCAGGCTGCCCTTTGCGCTCCAGGTACCTCATCTCGCTGGGAGCAGACAGAGAGGCAGTCAACGATGACGGCGACCTGCCCTCAGACCTCATTGACCCGGACTTCAAGGACCTGGTAGCGCTCTTCGAAGGGACTACTATGGCCTGAACCTAGAGCTGCCCTTCCAGGGCTCTCCTGTTCCCTGGAGAAGTCGGGGTCCACCTCTCCCAGGTGCAACGACCTGCTCCCAATGAGGGGCCCGGCCGTACCTGGGCACAAGCCCCACCCCACACACCTCTGACCTGGCTTTTTCTCCAGGTGGATTTTTTATTGTGACACTTTTTACTTTTTCAATAAACGTGATTCTCAAGCCCGTGGTAGTGACCTGCTTACTGAGGACTGAACCATCCCAGTCCCCGGGCTCCAGCCACTTTCGGGAACCAGCGGGTCCCGCCGTCCACGCGGGACTTGGGGTCAGGGGCCAGCGCCGGAGCAAGGCGCCAGGGCCCAGGGACCCAGATTCCAGCGCCCGGTCCCCGCCGCTCGGGACCCCGCCCCCGCCGCCGCGCTGCCGTATGTCACATGACCCACGCTCTCCCCCCCCCCGCGCCTGCGCGTGCGCTGCGCGGCGGCTGTGTCGTCACTTCCGGCCGGGCCCCAGCTGGCGGCGGCGGCCGAGCAGGCGAGGTGAGGCTGGCGCGGCGGCGGCGGGGGCGGAGTGGGTGCGGTCGGGATCTGCCGCGAGGTGGCGGCCGGCGAGGGGAGGGCCGAGTGTTCTGGGTGCGCGGGAGCGGCGGGGAGAAGGGCTGGGCCCGCGTCCTGCGGGCGGGGGCTTGGGAGGCAGCCGGGGCCCGCCCTGCTCAGCCTCTGAAGCCGCGGCCGCCGGCTCGGCAGTGCCCTGCAGCCTCCGTTTCCCCAAGGCGGCGCTCCCGAGGATGCTTCCCGGTTACTGGAATGCAGCAGGCCAGGCCCCCGCAATATTCCTTCTGCCCGTTACCCCTGGCCTCCCCGTGCAGGTGTGAAGCGGGTAACCGCACGCCTGTTCGGCCTCAGGAGCGCGCTGGACGGCAGGGCCTGGCCCCCACCGCGCGGGTTGCCGAAGCTGACGGTGGGCCGTGGGCCGCTTAGGAGCTCAGGGCTGCATGGGGTGGGAGCCGCGTGCATTCTACTCCTAACGACAAAAGCAACCCAGGTTGTAACTAACTTCAAGTGATGTGGAAGTGCCAAATTCATATCCCTCGCCTGCCCCAAGGGAGACTCCTAGAGAAGGTGGTCTTTTAGCTGGACCCCCAAGGATGAGGAAGACAGTTTTGGGCAGAGGGGACAATTCGAGTGGAGGCCCTGAGAGGAGTGGGGAGCAGGGAGCACACTTTTGGGTGGAGTGTTGAGAGCTTTAAGTGGAGAGTGCAAGTGGGGAGGAGAGAGGGAAGGAGCTGAGTCCTGAAGGGCGTGGGCTTGATTTGGGGTGATTTGAGGGTATGGTGAGATTTCCAAGTGACTTGGGAGGTGGGTGCACAGCCTCAGGTCTGTTGCTTGGGGGGTGGGAGCTGCTGCCACCACCCAGGAAAGAGGCCAGGGAGGGCAGTGTTTACAGGCTTCACCTGGGGGGTTCATGGACCCCCAGGCCCCTTAGTGGCATCTAATACGGCAGTATTCTGCTGGCTCCTGATTGGATAGTGGATCATTTTCTAGAAGTCTCATTGGCTGAAACTGGAATGTTGAGAGCGCAGACACAGAATGCAATAGGCAAGTAGAATCTAAGAACATTGGAGAATCAGAAATTCCAAAGGGACACAGAATGACCATTAGTTGCATTATTGATTCTCTTTCCTGCAATATCTGTCAGACAACAGAATATCATCCTCTCCTGTCTTCAGGCATATGGCTGTGTGTGGGGAAAGAGTTTGGGTTCCCCCAAAGCCTTGCCTTCCTCAGAAGGTCTCTGAAGTCCTAGGTTCCCATAGAGGAACCAGGTCTACAGATCCGTCCAGGAAGACCCATACGTTGTCTTCGATCAGAGTCACGCTGGTGTCAGGGTCCAGGAACTGCCGGGGATACACACAGAGGCGGGGCCTGGGGTGCTTAGGCCAGCTGAGCCATGTGGGCCTGGCCCTTTGTGCTGTGGCCTGGAGGCCCGGCCTCCGCTGCTGCACCTGCAGAGCCTGCAGTCAGCCCCGCAGGCATTTGCTGTGGCCTGGGCTTTCCTGGGTCTCCACTTCCCTCTGTTGGGCAGACTCCATGTTAGGTCTGCCCAGAGTGGTCCTGGCTCACACTTCATGATCAGGAGCCCTCCTTCCCTCTCAGATGTGTCTGTTAGATGGGACAGTCCTTCTGTGATCACCCTGTCATCGGTGGATCAGGAGCCAGAGACCTTGCTTGAGGCAGCGGGGGGACCTAGTGAGCATCCTTGGGGGCCACGTGGGCTCAGATGAGGATGCTGAGGCCCGGAGAGGGAAGGCACTTTCCCAAGGGCAGCAGAGAAGGGATGGTTGAGCTCCAGCCACAGAGTGGTTCTGGACCTTGCCGTGTGCCCAGCATGTAGTCCGCTGTGTAGATGCCGCTGTCGTCTAGGAAGCCATGGACATCACTTAAGGTCTGTAGAGAGCATGGGACAGTGTGGGGTTGTCTGCAGTGATGGGTGCAGGCAGAGGTGGCTCTGTGGCAAAGACTATGTTTGGGGGTGGCCTGGGGGCCCAGCAGTTGTTGATAACTGATGAAATAGATTGGAGCCAGGCTGAGGCCATGCTGGCCATAGAGGGCCTGCGTGGCTTCTGGGTGGGGAGTGACTTGGGGAGGGGGGTGTCCCTGGGGTGGGGAAGGATGGTTCAGGAGGGGTGTTTAGGAACGGGAAGAAGGAACTGAAGAGCACGTTGGTGGAGGTTCTCGGAGGGAGTCCTGGGCTTGCCGCTGGCAGGGCTGTGGGCTGAGGGGAGACTGTCCCACTGCCGTCAGATCAGAGACGCCATGGATTGCAAGCTGTGCCTTATGTCTTGGCCCACCAAGAATGCAAGAATACTTTAGTTTTGACATGTTGGTGATTGCCAGATGCAACCCAATCTCAACGCTGATGAAATAAGGAAGAAATATCTTAGAATGATCTAAGAATATCTTAGAAATATCAGAATGTAGTGTATGTGATAGAGTCTTGATTTCAAGTTGAGGAAGTGATTGTGAATGAAAGGGAAGAAGAGGGGAAGGACATGTTTTGGGAACTGTCCACTTGGCCTGCTGACAGGCAAAGGCCTAGCAAATCCTTCGAGCAGGGGTACCGCCACCCTCTCCCTGACCCCCTCCGCCAGACTCAAGGCTCTCGCCTCAGCCGCTCTGCGGTTTGGCAGGTCTTCCAGGGTGTCCCTGGTGGTTCTCCAGGCGGGTGCCATTTCCCACAGCCCACTTGTGCTCCGGCCCCTCCATGCGTGCTTCCTCGTTGGGCCCCCCGCTCAGTGCTTCCCTCAGCAGTCGGCACGCTCAGGTTCTCCTCTGCTTAGCCAGGCACACACTGCTGCCAGCCCTGGCCTTGTGCCCCGCTTTGCAGCCGATGGTCATGGGCGGCAGTCTTGGCTGGCTGCCACACGTCCTCCCCTCGCCCCACTGACACCGTTCTTGCTGAGGGCAATGGGAATGTCCTCCTGGTCTAGCAGTCACCTCTCAGTCCAGGTCTTATTCGACTCCAGCCGCCCCGCTGGGCGTCTCTTCTCTGACCTCGCTCTCCCTGTGCGTGCTTGTGGCTCAGCCTTCGTCCGCAGGCTGCTTCCAGCAGGCTTCGTGCCCCCCTGAGGTCTCAGCCGTTTTGTGTCGGCTCCTTCTGCTCAGCATCTGGGGCACGATCGGCCCGCTGCTGTCGCAGTTCATGCTTGCGGCTGTCGTGCACCCACTCCCGGGTCTGGAGTCTGCTGGTACAGACTGCCCCCTTCCGTGGCTCTTCCCTCTGCAGTGGTACTGTCTCTGGCCCCTCCTGTGTGCCTCTCAGTGGCCACATGGTCCTGGAATGTCTGTCACAAGGCATGTGTGTTCTTTAGGTTTTTAGTGGAAATTTCCTTTGGGGTCAGAATTGGAGGCCCACCTCCTTGGAGGAGTTCAGGGAAGTGATGAGGGTGAGCCAGTGGTGGCTCAATGTCCCTTCCGTTTCTAAGGAGTAGCAGATCCCTGGCCTCCTGGGAAGTTGCCGGTACACCTGGGAGAAGGCCCCATGCCCCTGAGTCCTGCCAGGAAGCAGTGTCTCGGCACGGTGAGGTCAGGGGCAGGTCGCAGTGAGAAAGGCCTGGGGAGGGAGGCTGAGCTGGGGGGAGAGGGAGGACTCAGGTTCCGCAGGTTTGGGAAGACAAACTGTTGAAGCTGAGAGCCGTGTGCAGGGCGAGCACCCCGTGGAGAGGAGGCAGCCCTCTGCTCTGTTTTCAGATGCCATTTTCTTTGTCTTTCAAGTCTGAGAACGTGAGAACCTGCTGAGTGTCTGGCACCTGGCACAGGTGCTTCTAGTTCACTCTGTCCAGGGCACCAGGAACTTCTTCACTGAAGTAGGACTTCCGGGCAGGAAGGCGCTCGGTGATAGGTGCACAGCCCTGCATCTGGGAACTGGTGCGACCTCAGCAAGATCTCAGTCTGGCCAGGAAGCCTAGCAGCGGGGTGGCATGGAGACTGAGTGCTTCAGGGCCGGTGGGCTCAGGCATGGTCCCCTGAAGGCAGCTACCCTGCGCCCCCCAGGCCAGTCCTTTGGGAGCAGGTTAGGTACTCAGAGAACCCCAGGGCAACAGGTGTGTGCAGGTGGGGCGGCGGAGCCAGAAGAGCGCAAACACCTGCCTTAGCTTGGGAGGGCGAGCAGGGCACAGTGCCCACAGAGGTCGGGCCTCCTCGGAGGCTGTGACCAGAGGGATGAGGCAGAGGTTGCACTGGGAGGAGAGGCCCCCGGGGTGGGCGAGACTGGAAGGACAGGGCTTGAAGAAGTTGCCACCGGGTAGAAGACAACAGAGTGGAGGAGGGCCAAGGGTGGGCAGGGACTGGCCCGGCTGCCTGGTCCCTCCGTCTTGTTGCGTAATTGGAACTTTGCTGTCCTCTGCCTGTCCCACCACCAACAGCCCCTTAGGAGAGTATCTGCAGGGTATCCTCAGGCCAGAGAGGGCTTTGTCCCTGTGCTGTGGTGGCCGTGAGGCTGGTCTCTGGGAAGGAGGACCACGGGCAGTGAGATCCCTGAGTCTAAGAAAGAAAAAGCCCACCTAGTAGGGGCATAGGATCCCACATCCTCCAGCAAGCTGCTTTTATGCTGTTTTTTGTTGTCTGGCCTGGGCCGTGGGCTTGTATTTACCTGTGTGGGTTTTTTAAATGCCAAGTCATTTGGGTGACAGCCGAATGAGCAACAGAGGGAGCACCTCATTCTGGCCCTCTGGGAGGGGCCGCAGCCACATGATCCGGGCAGCCTGGGGCCCCTGGGCTTCAGGGGTGGGTGGGGGAAGTTCTTGTACCCCCTCCCCTGTCCCCAGAACCTAGGGTTTCCCTGCTTGCCCTCTGTACAGGGCCTCGCTGTGCAATGTGTGTTCCCTGCCCTGGAGAGTGAGCCTAAAAATGAAACCCCACCCAGGGATGTGGGATTCCCCGGACCGAGAGAGGCTGGAATTCATGGACCCCAGGGTCTCTCGTGGGTCGGGTTCAGCAGCCCTCCCACCCTATTGGGTTTGATGTCCAGGGCACCGGCCCACTTGCACCCCAGCCTCCAGGACCCAGACCTGGGGCTCTGCCGCACTCCTGTCTGTTAGGGGGCATCCCCATTTCATGGATGGGAACGGGTTCGGTGGAAACGACACGCCAGCCCTGCAGGCTGTGGGGGCAAAGTCGGGGTTCCCCCAGATGACTGCCGCCCTTCCCAGCAGCCCAGAGTGCACTGTGAGGGGGGCACCGTGACTGGGAATGTCAGCAGGGCTGCCTGACTGCTGGGAGGCTCCCCGGGCGGCAGAGGTGCAGGTGCCGGCGGCTGCCCACAGCCCAGGCACCCATCTGGCTGGAACCTACCCCTGAGGAGTACCTTGTAGGCAGTGGCCACAGCATTTGGTCACCAGCTGGAAGAGAGGCGGCTGCGCGTGTACATCTGGAGGGGCCGCTCTGCCCCATCCCGTGTCTGGACCCCCTTTCAGAGGCCAAGGGGACCCGGAAGGGAGCGTGAGGACCGGACTCCCCAGCAATGACCAGGTGGGTCTCACTGGTGGCCTCTGCCCGGGGGAGGTGGGGCTCCTGCCCCACCCCCGTCCTCACCAGCCGGGCCTCGCAGCTCCCCTGTCTCCAGAGTCGTCTACACGGGCAGGAGGAACAGCAGCCCCCGCTCTCCCCCCAGCAGCAGCGAGATCTTCACCCCCGCGCACGAGGAGAATGTGCGCTTCATTTACGAAGGTGCGTGGGGTGCCCCTAGCCCGCCCAGGGCTTGAGCTCCCAGAGCCCCTCTTCTGCCCCTCCTGGGGGTTGGCCCTGCCCTCCGGGGGCCAGGCAGGTGGGCTGACAGTGGGGACCAGTCCAGTGGGGTGACCTGGTTCTGCGAAGGGGGGTCAGGCGGTGTGGTGGCGTTTCCAGCAGGCGCCACCCCAGAGGAGGCGGTGTTTGGAGCTGGACAGCTTTGTCCCGGGGAGGGGGCTGCCATGGAAAACCACCGGTGTATCCTTGGGGATCCCAGAGGTGCCCCAGAAGTATGTCTGAGGGGTGTGAGCATGTCTGCACACGTGTGCCCATGATATGTGCCAGGAGCTGAGCTTGGGGGAGGCGGGAGGCGGGAGGGCCCAGCCCGAGGAGCGGGCCCTGGGCTGCAGCGGGTCATGTGTGCCTGTGACCATGCCCTGGTCATAGGGCCAGTGGGGTCGTGTCTGCTGGCGGAGCTGGGGCAGGAGTGTTCAAGCCGGGCTTCCTGGGGAGAGGGTGTGCTGGGGGCAACCTCAGGGCAGGAGCAGGCTGGGCAGAGGGCTGTGAGGATGCTCAGGGCAGGCGTGGTAAGGCCGAAGCTCTCTTGGCCGGGATGCTGACCCCGCCGTCTTGTGCCGACTCCCCCAGCCTGGCAGGGCGTGGAGCGAGACCTGCGGAGCCAGGTGTCCGGCAGTGAGCGGGGCCTGGTGGAGGAGTACGTGGAGAAGGTCCCTAACCCCAGCCTGAAGAGTGAGTGGAGCTGGCCTGGTGGGGTGGGCCAGGGCCTTCCTGCTTCTGAAAATCCGTCAGGGTGGACAGGGTCCCAGGGCTTCCAGCGGTGGTGAGGCCGGGACCCTGCCTCCACCTGTGCCCACCACTGGCCGTTCTGTCCCCTGGCAGCCTTCAAGCCCATCGACCTGAGTGACCTGAGGCGCCGGCACACGCAGGACGCCAGGAAGTCCTAAAGGGCAGCAGCGCCCCCACCCCGCCTTGGGGACACCGGGTGCCGCCTGATACTGGGCTCCTCCTCTCCTGTGGTCCCAGTTCTGGCAGTGGGGAGGAGGCCACAGACCCTAGGACCAGGACAGGTGTGGCGATGGCTGAGGCCCGCCACTCCTCCCCCAGCCCCATCCTCTCCTTGGGGACATCGGGCTGCCCCTGTCGCTGGAGGAGTCCTGGCCCCGCCAGCCCCTGCTCTCCCCTGGCCTGGCTGCTCCCACCCAGGCCCTGACCCGACCCTCCTCCCCTTCCTACCACTCGCCACTCCCCCACCCCTGCCCCTGCCCATGTCCAGGATCAGCACGGTGAGGGGGACTGTTGTCTTCTGGGCCAGGTTTGTCCCCTGAGGTGGCCAGGAGGCAGGCCAAGGGTGACCCTTCCACCTAGCGAGGGTCCCCCACCTGTCACTCCTGCTTCTCTGGCCCAGATACATCAGAGAGTCTAGCCCCCCTGCCCATTGTCCGGCCTGGCCCCTTCCCTGCGTCAGCCTCAGGGCAGCACCAGCCGTCTGGGCCTGGGACACCGCTGGGCGCTCCCCAAGGGATCCTGGGCTGCCAGACCTGGCCCCTGTATCTGGGGCTCTGGGGCTCCAGCAGCCCCCTTGGACAGGGGCGTGAGACTGGCCTGAGCTGGTGCTGGGAGGGCCACCAGGACCCCATTCTGTGCCCTCCCAAAGCCCAGCGTCTGGACTGGCACCTGGGGACCAGTGAATAAAGGCAGGTGGCACTGGATTGGGCTCTTGTCAGTCTCTCAGGCCCGTCCCAGTGGCCCATGGGGCTGGAAATGTGAGGTCATCATCAAGGTGCCTGAGCCCAGAAAAGCCATCTGATCCCTGGGCTCCACTCGGGGTCTTGTGGCTCCTGGGGGGCAGTGACGGGTAGGGAGAGGTCCCTGCAGGAAAGGCTGGGCATCTCGTGGGGTCTCCTCGGAGCCCTCCTGTCAGGTGTGGGGGCCCTGGATGCAGTGGCATCCCCTCTGCAGCCCTAGACGTTCAGGGAAGTGGCTCCTCTGCTCTCCAGGTGGAGGAGGGGCCTCTGGGCCCCGAGGGTGACCCACACGTGCTTGACCTTCAGACCTGGAAAGCCCTGACAGGCCGGGCCCAGAGAGCCGGACTGGGACTTATTTTGGGAACGCCCTTTCCCAGAAGAGTGTTCTGGGCTCCGCAGATGGCTCTGGGAGGCGTCTTTTCCTGGGGACAGGGGCACAGGACGGTTCATATAATAAACAGCCACTGTGGCTCTCTGCCAGTGGGATCAGGCTGGTGCCAGGCTCTGAGCCATGTCCCTGTGACCACGTGGTCTTGTGGCTCTCTGGGGGCCTGTGGGGCAGTGTACCAAGGGGTTGCGTGTCTGCCAGCTTGGGTCACCTGAGCTGCCCCACACTGGGCTGGGAAGGGGTTCGGGCCAGCTGTGTGGTGAGCTCTTCGGGAGTCATGCCCTCCTCCCAATATGTCCTGGACCACCAGGGATGAGGCGGGATGGCAGAAACAAGGCCCTGCCCCCCGTGCTGCCCAGCGGGGCTGCCAGCGTCCTTCCAAGGGAGCCCGCCTGCTGGGGAGGCAGTGGAGGGCAGGAACTTGGGCCACCATTGCTGCGCCCATGACTGGAGGTTTTGTCAAGTGGAGATGGGAAGCCGCGGCTACTCGGTGCTGGTGCCTGTTGCCGTTAGCCACCCATAGGATGAGCTCGGCCTTGGCACCGTGGGCACAGCTGCGGGACGGCACAGGTGCCTGGACGTCTCCTCTGGCAGTGGCGGTTGTGGCCCAGCTGAGCCTGTGGCCTGTTGCCTCACTGCGCTCCCCCAAGTTTCCCCATCTGTAAAGTGAGGGTGTGTGCTGTTGTGGTCCTGAAGGGGTGCTGGGGTCCCCACCCAGCATGCTTGGGAACGTGTAAGGAGTATTTGGTGCATTAGTTCAGAATTGATTTTGACTCCAAGGCTCCTGGGTCATGCCTGCCCTGTGGGGCTGGAGGGTGGGGGTAGGGCCTCTGCTAATGCTCCCTTTGGGCCACATGACCCTAGAATCATCCTGCCCTTCCCACAGCACCCTCCTTGGCTCCGCCCACTGCTTGTAGTACTCCTGGAACTGTGCACCCCTCCCCGATGTGGCTAGGCCCACCGGACATGCCTCAAGGCCTCACTCCCGCTGCTCGCTTTTCTGGGCGACAGAGGCCCTGGGCCTGTGGTCTTTGCTGCCAGGAACACCTGGGAGGTGGGAATACGGCTAACAGGCCACATGCTGGGAGGGCGGTGAGGCCTTCACACGGTGCTGGGTGTGAGCAGGGCGGGGTGGGGTCTGGATCTGCGGAAGCCTGCGCTCGGCCCAGAGCACCGTCTTCGCGGCAGACCTGAGTTCCAGCGCTGCCCCCTTCCTAGAAGGGCGGTTCTTCTGGGAGTCGTGACAAATGGCTGAGGTCTTCATGTCACCGTAAAAGTGGGCCTGGCGTGGGGCAGAGGGATGCTAAGTGGTGGGGAGTGTGGGGCCCAGGTTTGGGGAGGCAGTGGTCCCTCCTGCTAGCCTGGCCCAGCTGTGGAGGGGAGCAGGCCCTCCGATGTGAGCCGGGCCCTGGCTGCACTGCTGTTCCCTGTCCGAGGTGCTGGGAGCTCTCATCGGGGTGATGGGTGGCCCCGCTCCGAGTGGCTGGAGACACCTCCCTGTGCCCCGTGCAGTCAGGGTGGCCGGGGAGAGGAGGCGACGTGTCCTGCTGGAATGGGGGTGTCCGGTTCTCCATCTTGTTCTGTCTGCACACGTGTGCTTTCATTCGAAAGTAACCCCATGGGGCTAGTTTTATTACCCCAATTTTACGAAAGGGGAAGCAGGACCTCTTGTAGGAGACTGACTTTGTTCAGATTTGTTTTTTTTTATGATATGGCAAACATTCTTACTAGTATTTTCCCAAAATGTTCAGATTTTTAAGCTTTTGTTTTTGTCCGTTTTAGTTGAGTAAATACGCAGAAGCACTCTGATCAGGGTCATGCATGCCGAGCATGAACATGTTGCTCCCTGACCCCGCCTGATACGCAGTCCGCATCACCCCAGGGTCTAGTCCTTCAGGCAAGCCGTGAGGAACTCAGTTGGAAAAGCCAAGCGCAGCTGCTCCGCGGGCTGGAGATGCCCCTGAGGCCACAGCCACTGCCCGCATTCCCCCTCCACCTCTCTGCTGGAGACCCCTGTGCTTTTGGTGATGCAGCTTCCCGCATTCCGGGCTGCTGGCCCCGTCCTTGTTGAACTCTGTCCTCTGCGTTTCTGCGAACAGGAGGCTGGGGCCTTGGGGCTCATGGAGGAGACCCTGGGGGAGAGGACCACTCTGGCCTCTGCTGAGAACAGGCTACAGGCGGGTTTCCAAGTGGAAGCAGGGAGGTGGTCAGGAGGGCTGTCAGCGAGCTGCCAGGTGGGGGGAGCTCGGGGGGCCGTGTGGTGTGTGAGGTGCATGGAGGGAGTTTGAGCCCAAAAAGTAAATTCTGGGGATCGATGGGACTAGAGGCGCCGGTCAGAACCTGCCTGCTACTGATGACTAAGATTGGCAAGGAAAGACTGGGGCCTGACCTGCAGCGGCGCATCGGGGGGACTGGGAAAGGGACTGATGGCGGCGGGGAGCGGGCGCGGGCGGCTGGGCGGAGGCCCCTCACCTGGGGGCGCCCGACCTCAGCCCCTCAGCTCGTCTTTTGGGTTGTATTTCTGTCCATAAGCAGTGCCCACTGCTTGAAATTGCCATTTCCCTCTCTCCCCACTGCCTCACACAGACGCGTGCCCCTCCTGTCAGCCGCCCTCGCTGGTGCTCGCTCTTGGCTTTGTTCGTCGATGTGAAGTATTTACTTCATGTCTATGTTTGCGTTCGGAGCTGAGCCATGTGGTAAATTGTGATTTTTTTCTTTTCTGCACAACTTTGTTTTCCTTGGAGTTACTGCCTTCTTTTCTAATTCGCTCTGTTTTCTGTGTGTGGACGCTAAGTCCGGAGTGCTCCTCTGGGCCATCTAAGTCCCTTCTCGGTGGGCTGGGTCGCTGATTCCTTGGGGGTGTCTCTCCTGGAGACGTCCGCCCTCCTTGAGGCCCCTAACCCCCCACACACATGCAGACACGCTAGCGGATACCATACATTCTTTTGGGGAAAGCACAGAATGCAGGTGGAGAATGAAGCCATGTGGATGCTGGGCCCTGGTTCAGGAAGTGGGTTCACCCTCCACCGCTCCTGCAGGGCTGCGTGGTCACAGCCAGTGTTTATTGGCTGAGCAAGTCCAGCCCCTGCCAAGCCTCCACGTCCGTGCGACTCCACCAGCCTGCTCCAGCTCCCTTGGGAACAGGGACAGGGGTGAGGGAGGCCAAGGGCAGAGGGAGTCAGGACGGGGAGGGCTGTCAGGAGGCCCTAGGAGAGCAGCTCCCCCCACGGCAGTGACCAGCCCTGAGCTCAGGTGGCATGAAGGAGAGCCTGTGCCCTCCGAATACCAGCTCCTGTCCGCAGTCTCCTGGGGATCCCATCAAGATCTGGCAGGGTCCCTCTGGGCAGGGGCTTGGAGGGGAGTCAGGCTGGGGCCTGGGAAGCCTAGGACAAGAGGTGGTCTGCAGCCTCAAGGGCAGGGGCCTCAGGCTGCCAGCTGTACAGCTGGCATTGCCCAAGGGCCCAGCAGAGGTCCAGCTGCTGCACTGGCTCCCAGCCCTGCAGCCTCCACCGATCACAGTGACACTGGCACCCCACCTGGGCCACAGAAGAGCCCAATCTCCCCAAACTATGTGGCCAGGAGAGCTGTGCTGCTGTCTCTCTTGAACCAGATCCACTTCTGGAGATCTGTTTCTCCCACTTGAACCTGCTTTGTGGCCTGAGATTGGCAGGGATGAGGGAGTCCGCAGAGGACATCCGGTTCTGCATGGCCCGGAGGCCTCTACTGGGCCTGAGTCTGGCTCCGGCTGAGGCTCTGGGGGAGCCAGTGTTTGGGGCTGAAAGGGGCATGATGCCAGCTGCCTCCCTTGGCCATCTCTCCCTGCCCATCAGGGCTGTGGTGGACATGGGTGCGTGGGGGTGCAGGTCCCCTCTGGAGAGCCCCAGTAGCAGGACGCCAGGAAGTCCTAAAGGGCAGCAGCGCCCCCACCCCGCCTTGGGGACACCGGGTGCCGCCTGATACTGGGCTCCTCCTCTCCTGTGGTCCCAGTTCTGGCAGTGGGGAGGAGGCCACAGACCCTAGGACCAGGACAGGTGTGGCGATGGCTGAGGCCCGCCACTCCTCCCCCAGCCCCATCCTCTCCTTGGGGACATCGGGCTGCCCCTGTCGCTGGAGGAGTCCTGGCCCCGCCAGCCCCTGCTCTCCCCTGGCCTGGCTGCTCCCACCCAGGCCCTGACCCGACCCTCCTCCCCTTCCTACCACTCGCCACTCCCCCACCCCTGCCCCTGCCCATGTCCAGGATCAGCACGGTGAGGGGGACTGTTGTCTTCTGGGCCAGGTTTGTCCCCTGAGGTGGCCAGGAGGCAGGCCAAGGGTGACCCTTCCACCTAGCGAGGGTCCCCCACCTGTCACTCCTGCTTCTCTGGCCCAGATACATCAGAGAGTCTAGCCCCCCTGCCCATTGTCCGGCCTGGCCCCTTCCCTGCGTCAGCCTCAGGGCAGCACCAGCCGTCTGGGCCTGGGACACCGCTGGGCGCTCCCCAAGGGATCCTGGGCTGCCAGACCTGGCCCCTGTATCTGGGGCTCTGGGGCTCCAGCAGCCCCCTTGGACAGGGGCGTGAGACTGGCCTGAGCTGGT